AGGAATGCCAGCTTGGGCAGTATTCCATATGGAGAAGTGGAAGATGGCAGTGAGACTGTTTTTCTCTGCTCTGTGAAAGAAGGATCTTGGCCAATCCGCTTCAGGATTTTTAGAAAAACTGATCGTGAAGTTCTTCTATTTGAAAAAAATGAAAATGCAGACAGAGTCGTGTGGCGCAAGGAAGCAATGAACAGGCAGGACACGGGGACATATTACTGCGTGGCTTCTAATCGAGCTAACGTGGATGTGAAAAGCCATCCAATAAGCATCAGTGGTAAGCTAACTTTTATGATAAGGTGCATACTATGTCATCATGACAGGTGACATCATTTTATCATCTGGGATGTTACTAAGTATAATTCCCTTACTTGTTTTTGTTCCACCATTGGCAGAAGTTAAACAGAGAGATCCATTTATAAACATATAAATTTATATGTCTAACTTACACAGAAAAGTTTAAGGCTTGCTCAAAAGCCAAAGGAGCCAGATGCAAGCTAAAAGCAACCCATTGTTGTACTGAGTTTTTAATCACAAAGGAGAGGCTCACTAGTGAACTTTGCATTCAAGTTTCCTTAAAGTTCTTCTCCAGTGTGCAAGAAGGCCAATTTGTAGTAAAATGAAAGGTCAGGAACTGCAGAAGTTGGTAATGATGACCTGTCACTGTACATGCTCTCTTAAACATGTCTGTCTTATTTCCAGTCATCTTAGCGGCTTGGCAGAAAGGAGTCATTGCTGCATTTGTCCTAATACTTATCGCAGGAGCAGCAACTCTCGCTTTATGGTGGTTTTTGTGTAAGAAGAAAAAGGGTAATGAATGGTTCCCTTCTGTTTGTTTGGTGACAAATGTATTGCAGTTAAACTTGCATTTGTTTCAGGAGCAAAGGCTTGTGGGGGTGAGGCTTCAGGAGATTACTAAATATGATTTTAAACAACAAAACATCTACTTAAAAATGCTGTGTGGCCCAAATTAAGCTGTGACTGTGTTGAAGCTTTCCAAGTATATTGGGCAGAATAGGAGCGTCTAACTAATGGTGCTGGGAAGGCACTAGTGAAGCAAAGGTTATTGGAGACAGGCCAGAATTACACTGTCCTGATGCAGTCCTAGGTCTGGAATTCAGTGCCATGCAATGTAGAGGCAGACAGGGCCTGAGGGGGTTTTTGATCCCTTATAGAGCTATGATAATTTGATTTGAGGTCCCAGCTCAGGTATAATTGAGGTACTTCTCTAGTCCTCATGAAACAAATTTAAGATTATTAGGTTGTGGGGCTGTTTTTTTTTCTCCCCACACTCTAATACAATTTAACTTAGGGATTTGTCTTTTATCATTAAGGTATTCTTCCAGATCTTGTTCTTTCAGAAAATAAGTAAATATGGTTTATCCTGTGATTTCCAGTACATTGCAAAATATTTGGGAAAATTTGGAGTATCTGAATGTCTCAGACTGCTTAAATTGGCCAGGCTAAATAAAGTCTGGGGCTTGGGATCTTAGGTTCTCTGTGAAAGAGACGTTTAAGGGACCTGGGTGATAAACAGGATGTAAGACACTAGGTAATTACTTTTGTGATAGCCAAGAGAAATTATTCTGACTTGGGTAGATAATCACTATATTTTTGGTTTGATTTTTACTTTTAAATTCTTTTACTTGTGTAATTAATAGATACTTTTCTTTTTCTCTGTCAAGCTAAAGGACCATCCATGGAGATGTCTGGGTAAGATGGCTTGCTTTATGGTAATGGTGAAGTATTTCTGTTCAAGGGCTGGAGGCCTTCCACCATATGAATATAGTTTATTATGGCACACACCTGCAGACAATAGATGGTTGTGTTTCATGTAGCACCTGCTAATGCAACAACAGGATGAGGAAATAGTCTAAAAATAGAAAAAAAAAAAAGGCCAGCTAAGAGAAATAGAAGAATGTCAGGCCTGCATTTGAGTGCATTTAGATATGGAATTAAAAATACAGAGGTCTTAAAGAAGAGTAATGCAAGAGGGAACATTTTTTACCTTAAAGTCTGTTTGCGCTTCTCTTAAAGACAAAACCAAATTTTTCATTAACTTCAATAGTTAAGAATGTGTGGTAGTCCGCATAGACAACGACTGCTCTTTGCATATCATCATGTTGTTTTTATTGACACGTTTTGGATAATTACATCAACTTTTGTTGGTTTGCTTTTCAGTTCTGCCTTGGCTACAAACTTGACAAGTGAAAAACTGACAAGACAGCACAATGATGGAGACTACTATTCAGGTAGGATATTTTGCTGTAAGACTATTAGTGAGTTGGCTTAATTAAACATTTATTTAAAGTTTTGGACTTACATGGTTGTTGTTTGGATAGGGCCCAGTGTTTTGGGAATACAGAGGAATACCAGTAACATCCTTCCAAGTATCTTCTATTATGTTGTCTTTGTACAGTTTTTTATGAGCACATTTCATACAAAGATTGGTGTATAAGTCTGCTCAGACACTTCTACTGGGCAATCAGTTAACAATATTACAGATGGAGAAATCATGGTAAAAGAAAATTATGTTCTGTTTTTGACAGTTTTGACACAGCTGCAAGAAAATTATTTCAGAGAGGAAATTTGAGTTGTGGCACATGGTCCTGTAATGTGCCCACAGTATAGCGATGTTAACTTGCCATGACTGGGCACTTTTCATTTCAGGATCTTAATGCACTTTACAAAGATAAGTGGACATGTTGTTTAGAGCACCTGATATAAACAAAGTTATCCCTTGGGTGTTTTTCAGCTGATCATTTAAAAACCCACATTCTTCCCCCTGTATTATATGAATGTCTTAGGTATGAATCTGAAAGTAGAATTTCTCATATGTAAATAAACATAATGACAATAGCAGCTGTGTAACTAATTTATTTGAGTGGCTATAATAAATATTTTGTTAGCTCAACTTTTGCTTTAATATTTTAGGATCAGGTTACATTGAAGACAGTGAAAATCACATGAAATCAACAGATGAGAATAAAGGTAACTTCATACTTAAACAATAGATTTTAAAATTATTTTATGATTGAAAGTTGTGATGTTTTCTAATGGTAGCAATCAGGATTTGACAGGTCCAGTCCTTTCCTTTTTCTCTTTGATAGTGGAGAAGACTTTCCTTTGCTGAGCTTAGTTCTTTTTCCTTACATGAAAAATGACAATGATAGGACCCATTTACTAACTGCATTATGAAGTGTAATTAGTTGTGCTGGATTCCAGGCCATCTAATGAAGGATGGTATATAAATACAACTTAGACTCAAAATTTTAAGTTCTATATAACAAATATTCAGAAATTAAAAAAAAAATTCTACAGACTTCTGCTTCTTTTACTTGTCTGTCCTTTCTTCATTTCTGCAGATCTTGAAATATTTAAGCATTAAACCTAAAAATAATTTACTGTGAAATCTGAATAAAATAACCTGCCAAATACCTTGATACACTATGTGGGAGATATATAGATATATATAGATATATATATATGTTCATTAAAACGTGTCATCAAGTACTGCATCATCTAGCACATTGTATTCTTCAAGACCAGTGTTTTTAAGATATTTAGTCAAAGAATAGTACTTAAATATGTGGGCATTGCTATCTGAAAGCATACCTTGTCCCATATATTTTTGTTTTATATTGATGTGAAAGTATTCTCATGGGTTAGATGCAATTTCTGATGGTTTATAGTACATTTTGACTTGGTTGTCTATTGGACCATGAGTTGAAAGATAGTCGGAAAGGCATCTAGTGTAACTACAGAACAAAGTTAAGCTAAAATTAATCCAGAGCATGGAACTAGACTCCTGCGTAAGCCTGTATGCAACACAGGTGGCAGGAATTTCTAATCGATAATTCTTTGATGCAATTCTGAGTGTGCAGGGCAGCATTGTACCACAAAACTAAGAGAAAGGTGCTGCTCCAAGTTAGTTTCACAGGAAAACTTGGAAACAACCTTTGGAAACTCTAGCTCAATGACTCTTGTTTTTTCCATTGTATCCTACCTGTTTCTTCTGAAATGGGCTCTGGTCTAACGATCTGCATGTGTGCCAGAAATAAACGGGTTTAATCCTTACCTACTGTGGACTGGGCAGCTTCATTAAAACCAGCTAGGCTATTGCAGATCTCTCTACCAGAAGTGAAAAACAAGTCTATTATTCACATAGCTCTAAAAATAATAGTATCTGTTCCGCATTTGTGTGGCAATAGCTTTTACTTCAGCAAACAAAAGGAAGGAGCTTATAGTCAGTGCATGGAAGTTATTCCACTGTGGCCTGAATAAGTCAAATTAGAACTAGAAAGACACTCTCATGCAAAACAAACATACAGACAGCAGAAACATAGGAAAATAAGGCTGTATTGATCATTCAGAATCACTGTTGTTGTAGGAAGCATGTCATTTAAACTCTGTAATTAACTAATATGCCACTTTAAACACTGTTTTTGTTTTGTTCAGCTTTCTTTTTTTCTTCTCACAAATGCTATTGGAAGGCTGCTGCAGAACTTTGCTGTTCTAATCATTAGATCTTTCTCTAATTTCTGTTCTAAAAAATCCACAAGCAGTTCTGCAGGATTCCAGTCTGGATGACTGTTGTTGTTCCTCCCAACTTTTATGGAAATCTAGTAGAAAACCGTTTCCACGCTAAAGAAAAGGCAGAGTAGAAAGCAAGAGCTGTTTCTTGTGTCTGTTGTATCCAGGTAGCCAGTATTTGTCAGCCAGTAGTCTTAGTAAATCAGGTGTCTAACAGTCGTCAGGCTTTCTGTGGGCCTTGTGGCAGAGAAGCATTTTGAGGAGGAAGATGGGTTTCCATTGTAGATGTTCTAGGGAGAGCTTTGAAGGGCAACATAAAAGTGCTGAAACTGCTTATTGGCAAAGCAGAAATTGAGAGTACGAGAGGTGATGAGGGAGGCCATGAAAGACTTAGAGAAGGCTTTAAATGTGAGGAAAGTGGAGAATGGGAAGTGTCCTGCCACAGCAGCCATAGAAAAGGAGGAAAAGGTAATGGCAGGGAGAAAAGGAGAAGAAAGAGGAGCCAGAGCTGGAGCAGGAATTTGGGCAAATCTCAGATAATTCCCTGCTCCATTTGTGTTGTGCCACTTTTGAAGGTGTCAAATTGGAAGTAAGAGTTTGGGGCACAATTTGCACGTCCCACAGTTTCAGAAATCTGGCTTGAGTTGGTCTACTGCCTTTCAGATTGGGATGACCCTTAGGAATGGGTTGGCCTTACAACTCTTAGCAGAGTGACTCACATCTGCCATAAGTAGGGCCTGATCCTACACCTATCAAAGTCAGTGAGGACTTGTCCATTAATTTCAGTGGCAGCAGGATCAGGCCCACAGTTCAAATGAAGTGTGCAGTCCTACAAAGAAACATCTTCTTGATATTTTTGGGGCAGGACCTGACCTTGAGAGTGCTGAGGTGGAGTACACTGAAGTTGAAGTATCAACGCTTGATCCTCACAGAGGTAATAAACTGTCTGGCCTCTATGGTTATGTTTTGGGAGCAACTCTGTGCACGTTGCTACTCCCTGACACTGGTCTGATATTGGCACCTGTGAATATAAGAGCAGGTTGTGTTTTGTGTGCATGACGGTTTCATGCCAGTAGTGCTCCTTAACCTAGATGATGCTGTGGCAACCACGCTGTTGTTCATTGCAGCCCTTCTTCCCCTGGGATCCTCTCGTGCACTCGCCCTTCCCATCCACATGAGGTTTGTGCAGAGCAGGGCTCCCAGCTGGAGCTGTGGCTCTGAGCAGAAGGCAACCTGCTGTGAATCTTCATGTTACAGAGTCCAAATTCACTTGGAGCCATTTGAGGTTAGCTACAGGGTAGGATAATGGAGAGAACAAAGTAGTGGAATTTCCTCCTTTATAAAAAGGAACTGATTGAAGGGTCAAAGCTGTAATTCACTTGTGATAGGGAAGGAAGAGAGACCAGCGTAGATTTAGTCTCTCAGTCTGGAGAGACCTGGAGACCACCCTGGATTTTGTGGCATGTTAAACAGAGAAGTGAGAATATTAATACCCAGGTAACTTTGGCCTCCTACTTGTAGTTCTGTGGTAACAGTAACCAGACCTCATAGCATGAGGCTAAGGTCCATGTCACTGCAACCTTGAAGGAGAAATATCCACCAAAATTTATTCTTAATACCCAAATGTACACTGCAACCATTCTGTGCCATCTGGAGAACTGGGATATCATTATGCCCTTGTGTTGAAAGCTGTTAAATCTTTCAGAAATTTACAAAAAGTTTCAAGTAGCTAAGGGTGAATAAAACCCATGAGAGACATTTATGCTATGCCCTAGCTTCTTTGCCTTAGCTGAATGAGAAGCAGACTGAGGAAGAAATGGATAAATTTGCTTTTTCCTGGTAGGAAGGACCACTCACTTATTTCAGAGACCAAAGACATGATTGTTTAGTTAGTAATACAGATGTTTGGGCAAAAGTGCTGACTCTTCAAGCTTGGCAGCAAAGCTCTCCCGGAACAGCTAGTCTTCCTTTTCTTTCTCTGTTTTTACTTGCTGGTATCATTCATCATGGAGTTTTCCCTGTGTTCTAAGCGTGCTATTTATCCACCTCTGCTAAATTCTGCGCTGAGATACCATAGTTGTTGTACTCTTTTTTGGAATAGGGCTAATACTTATTTGTTCTAACTGTTTCTGAGGATGCACTACACAATACAATGGTGTAGAATGGTAAAGATATGCTACTGCATGATTATTTAAATTAAAATCCCTATTAAATGCAAGATCAGCATCTCTAAAAATAGCCTTTTCATCCCATTCCTGATAGGTAACACTATTCCAGTATACTAGACTGAGTAGTCAGATAGTATCCATGCTATGTAGACTGAACCCCATTAAACTGCAAACTGCAAAATAATGTTTAAAAGAGAGTGTGTAAATGAGATCAGATTATTTTAACTGAATGCTGTCTCATGTTACAGACCCGTGTATGACATACAGAACATTAACTGATTCTGTAAGACTGAACTGTGCTTCAAGTATATTGAGATAGGATAGCTCCCTAATCTCTTTCTTTTGTTGCACTCAGGACACAAGTGAATGCTTAGCAAATGCATGCTTTGGTTATGTAAACGGCAACTGCACTGCACGCATTTAATGTGTTAATCTTTCAGAGCATCTTGAGGATGCTGCTTAAATGGAAGGAGTTGTATGAAACCAAGTTGCAAGATTAATTCTTTCAGCTCTGCACTGCCTATCACAATGAGAACAGGATGAGATTTATTCCTGGGAAAAGAGAGAAGCAAAGCCAAGTTTCTTTATATACCCTTGTAATAATCATGTACACCCACAAAAATAATTCAGCCATAGGACTGCCACTGGTACTTCTGCCACATTGATGTTATTGTATAAGTTTTGTTTCAAATCATAATATTCTTTCATATCTGTCTGTGGGCTATGACCAGTCCTTTTAGGGAACAGGGCTTTCAGATTATCACCTAGCTCCAAATCCCTATCGCACCTCTTTTGATTCCACCTATTTTCTGAATGAAGACAAAGTATATCACGCTTACCTTTTCTCTGGGCACGCATATCTCATCCAGCAGGCTGCACATAGAGTCTGATTCCTTCTGCCTTTTGAGGAACTCCAAATTTCTTTGGTGTCTCAGGACTACCTTCAAATTAATTTATCGTCTCAATCATTTGTTCCTCCTGCCACTGTTGTCAATGTCAATACTAATGTTCATCTCAGGAGCAGGAGAATCATATTTTGTGTATTGTGAAAGACTACTGCAATAAATGCTGCAGTATCTAAGATATAACACTAGCCTTTATTTCACTTTTGGGAATCAGGAATAATTGAATACAAGTTTACATAATTGTAGAAGGATGTACATCTTGTCTTTGACAGTAAACAACTACTTACATTTGAAAACAGTGGTTTCACCCTGGTTTTCCAGCCATGTCTGCACTAGCTGTTCATTTCTGAAATACTTTTTAACACAGTATAATGGCGAATAGGCTAGTGCATCAAGAACTTGATATGTACTATGTTGTGTATGAGGAGCAAAAAACAGGGTTCATTACAGTGTTACTGATAGTGAGTGGTAAGTTTCATTTTAAAACTGCTTTATTTTAAAACTTCCATGTGGGAATAGCTTGATACCTACTTTTTGAAGTAGGGGTAAAGAGGCTAGGCAAATACAAGGTAGAGCTGGGGCTACACAGTCCAGCTTTTACTTGGGGTAGTCACAGTGGAATGTTAATTTGATATTTAAAGAGCTGGTAATTCGAAAGAATGATTAAATTGAATACTTACAGTGATTATATGCTCCACAAAAATATAGTGCTTATCTTTTCTAAACCTTAGTTGTGCAAAAAGATGGCAAAAAGTGATTTAGACCCTTTATTGTTAATCTGAGCGAAAACAAAAGCCAGTGCTAAAGTAAGATCAGGAAATATCCCTAAAGTGAGAAGGGAGAAATCACTAATCATGGCTGAGTAAGAACATGCTCCTTCTTTTACTTTTATAGTTGGTTAATTATCTGCAGGGTGGCAACATTATAAAGTCAGTGGGAACAAAATGTCAAATCATCCAAGTAATTTCTCCTAGCACATTTTTTTTCAGTGCTGAGATGACTTTTGGAAGATTAACAAAGAAAATAACATGGGCAGTGGCATCATATCACAATTTAGTGAAATGAGTCTAAAAAAAAAAAAAGGCAAGCTAAGGAAATGCCTCCCACCAAGTCTTTCCACAGAGTCAACGGGAGTAGATTTAGGTCTGTAATCGGCTAAAAAAAGTGTTCCAAAACAAATGAGCTACTTCTCCTTAAAATTCTGAGAAGATTACTTCTCACTTCACTGGAAATTTAATTGATCATTTAAGCAATAGTCCATAAGCATATGAAATGTGCTTCAAGATCTTCAGACTATTTTGCAAAGAAAGTTCATGCCAAAACTACAAGTTTGAAAGCTGTGAATAGGCACTCGGTGAAGTGTAACTCCTACTGTCATTGCAATTAATAGCAGTTTTGCAACTCAATTCTGATGTTAGCTCCCAACATTTAAAGGATGCTTAATAGAATTTTTAAAAATGAAATTAGCTTTGGGAAATTAGAATGTGGTGCCAGAGACACTTAGGTTCTTCAGAGCGATGCAGAACAGTAATAGTCCTGATTCTGAGTCTGGCTGCAGGTCAATATGTCTGAATTCTTTAAATTTTTTTTATAGCTAAAGTACAGGAGACTGTATCCAGAAATGTGAATTTTCTTTCCAGTTTCTTGCAGAGAGGGAACAACCTTTTTTTTTTCTTTTTTTTTTTTTTTTAACTTTAACTACAAAAATCTAACTTCTTGGTTTATTGAAGATCCACAGAAATTGGAAGTGATATTGATAGAATTCTGAGGTTTTCTAAGAGACAGAGTTTAACTGAAATGAATGAATGTTTCTAAACCACTTTGAGATCCTTGAACAGCAAGCACCTAGACCCTGCCTGCATAGGCCTTTATACCAAATGAAGAAAGTGGTTTTAAATGCACAGAATTCTGGAGCACTTTGCTCTACTATGGTTGCTCAGGGATTCTTAATCTACAACCATGCAAGAAATCAAGGAAATTGCTCTAATCTCCTACTAGCCAGAGCTGTGTTTACACTGACCATAGTGAAACTGAGTTCTTGCTGTTTTCAGGCCTTTAGATAAGGCTCTGCCCCTTCCCTACTGGGGTAAGTGCCTGTAGTTTGGTATCAAAACTCTGTGGATAGGTTTTCACAGATGTCAGATAGCAAAAAAGGAAGAACTTTTTGTTTTCCATCTCAAACAAGAGCAGAGGCTGACAGGGGCTCATTTGTAAACCTGAGGATCTGAAAAGTATGTGTCTAAGACTAATGTTGCATTTGTATCCCAGCTGTGTCCTAGGAGCTGTGTCTCTGTCTGCTTTTTCTCCTTACTTTCTATCTTTCCGCAAGCCGCCTTAGCCGTTCACTCCTGCTATGCCCACCCATCTCAGTGCACTAATGGAAGAGTCCACCACGCTGAGGAACTGAGAGGAGACCTTTCCCAGATGACACCTAAAGAGAAGCTGTGCAGTGTGAAATCTGCAAATATGCTTCTGAGACATTTCACAAAGAACAGCAAATTAGATTATTTTTGTGCCTGTAAGATTTAATCAGGCTAGTTGCCAAAAGGGGGTGTAGTTAGTCTTCCAAATGATAGATCTCCTCAGGTCTAGGATCCCTAAATCCTTAGAACAAATCCAGAGAAACTCTTCTCTAGTGGTAGATGGCTCTGTAAAATTAAAGCAGTATCAATTCAAGCTGAGATGATTATTAGAATGTTAAAGTCAAATTTAGAAAGGGAAGCCTATTTTCGTCATCATTTCTGTATAGAAGGAGAGACATCTGCCTCTAAGAACCTTACAGTCTGGGTTTGGGGAGGGGGTGTAGTTGCTTTTTCATACAGACTCCACAGGCTCATTGCTGCTTATGTAACTACTTCCTCTGAAAGTAAAACAGTGTGTTCTGTTTGTTTAAGGAGCTTTTCATAAGGCAAACAAAAAAAAAAAAGAAAAGAAAAGAAAAGAAATTGATTCTGTGCCAATACATTTTCCAGCTCCTGTACAGAAGGGGACTGAAACAGTTTATAGTGAAATCAGAAAAGCTAATAATGGTAAGTAAGCTAGTGAAAAATTAAACACATAAAGGAAGCATTTGTATAGAGATTAGGGATAAATTTGTGACTGAATAGTTTAGAAGATCCAAGTCACATGGGAACATACTGAAGGTCAGCTACGAAATCACAGGTGTTGATAAATTGTATAACATCTTCATGGTTTCTCATAAACCAATGATATTTAATGCAGTGAGATCAATATTTATAATGCCTACTTCATCACCCCATTTGTACTGTATCTGCTAAGTAGTTGGGCCATACATCTGGATCTGAATCTGGAGCTGAACATGCTCTGTTAGGGATTAGGATGCTACCTTGCATTATCTCAAACTGCTCATGAACAACACTTTTCCTCTTAGTTGAGCATGTTTGCCATGCATTATAAAATATTACACTGGTTTTGGATATAACTCCAGCAAATATCTATAAAGCCTCCCACAACAAACTCTAAAAATCTTTAAAGCAATATGATCACTTCAGTAGTTGTTTGTTTTAAGCACCATCAAAAGTGTCTCAGATTGTATGTGCCAGTCACTCTACCCTTCCACCTCCTGTGACACAGACTTTTAGCAGCTTACTGGCAGTTACTGTCTATAAATGTTCTGGCAGTAATGAGTTCAGAGACAGTAGGTTAAAAGCAGTTTTTCATAGTTTGTCAAAGACTAAATCACAAAGGATTTCCTTTCCTCTCTTTGTGTTAAGAAGTATAGATTTGTAAATATTAGGGCTGTAAACTGTTCAGGTTTTTGTCCCCATCCATGTTACCAAGTGGCTTTGTTATGTGCCATTTTTAATTTTTGATAGTTGTGTTTTAATTTGCTATTTTTCTATTTTATAAGGGATTTCCCACCTGCTCTGACACAGTATTCTGTTTCTAGGGAATCTTTCATGTGAGGGTCTCCAAGTACTTTAGAAGACATTACTTAATTTTCCCCTGTGAGGACTTACAAGGCAATTTTAATCTCCATTTTACAGCTGAATAAACAGAGAGATTAGGTCATTTGTTTAAGGCAACGTGTTTAGAGAGTGACAACACTGGGAACAGAATTTCAGAATCCTGACTCCTGGCTTGGTGCTGAGCCTGTACGTTGTACTCATTTTTCACAGCCTTTCACTTCATGTGAGATCACCTGGCAGCATCATGAGAAAAAAAAATCTCATTTTAGGGCTGAACCCAAAGGCCCCTAATGTGCTGAAACATTTTCCAGTGAGTGTGAATTGGACCTGTAACAAGCTGCAGAAGCTGATTGTATAACCCCTCGCTTGCTTTCTGCCAAGGTGTGAAGCTGATTATTACACCTTTCACTATTCCTATTTTTGACATAACGGAAAGTGTTATATACTGGAAGGATGTTTTGTGAGTTGCAGTGTAAACTCAAGGCTGGTACAGCAGAGCTATAATTCAAAGCACTTATAAGACTGTACTTGCCATGAAGTGGGAACTACAATAAAATGAGATATGATTGAAATACTGAGCTGAATTAGCCAGATGATATGCAAACGCCCCCTTAATCTTGCAGTCCACCTGCTCTTTTATGCATAACATTCTCCAGTTTCAGTTATTCTTGGAAACATAGTAACAGTTTATTGTTTTAATCACGTCTGTTTTTCCTGACTGATACACAGGAAAAGTGTTTCAATTAGATAAGCAGTGCATCACATAGCTATGCAGTTGCTTTGGACAGCTATATTACAGTCTATTTAAATGTAAAATTTACTTGGATTTTTGATAGGCTGTGTGACTGCAAGGTGGCAAAGTGTAAATGCAGTGGAGGATCCCTAGGAAATAGATCTATCTTCTTAAGTACTTTAATATATGTTAATATAAGTGTATTAAAGGCCAATTGTGAAAGATGTTGAACATTACTAGTGGGTGCAGAAGTTGGTTTACTGTTATAATCTTCACTATGTTTGAATATTCTTTGAGATTTTTGAGCAAATGCCCAAGAGTACAGTCTACTTCAGGAAGTTAATGGGTCAGACAAACGTGGCCTCTGGGGAAACGGTGTGAATTTGGGAATTGATGTCAGCTACACAGCTTGACAAATTTAACACCTAAGACCTATGTAACATTTTACTATTATTTGTTTGTACGTAACTGTTGTGGTTTGGGTTTGTTTAATTAGAACTGAGTGCTTCATAAGCAATTTTGTCTTTTCAAGGAGTTGTCTGTGCATTCCAGAAATTGTGTCCACTAGAGACGAAGCTGAAGAGCTGTCAGTAGTTGTTATGTCTGATGCAATTCTTTCTGACTGAGCTAAAATATTTTTCCTCTTAGTTCTTCTGAGGGCTCTCACTGCTGGCCCCAGTAAGGCAGATGCCATGTCAGTAGCCGACTTCTCTTGTATTTTGAGTTCTACAGCTATTGCTTGTCCTTATCCCAAATCATGAATCCATAGTGCAGATAATACTCTGACCTTTCCCAAGCCCCAGGTCTTTGGCAGTGTGCTAAGCATCTGTCATTATTCCATTTCTTTTTATTTTCCTCATATTGGCTATGTTATCTCCTGTTACCATCATTTTAGTGTCTCCGTCACACACTATGGTAAGACTTCCCATCCTATCTGTTGTGCTGCTTTCCTTATTCTGAGTACCAGGCCTAAAGAGGTGTTACATGAAAGATAGATAGACAGAAATAGTCAAATGCACATTTCAAATCTCAGAAGACCTGCATGTGGTTAACTACAGTTAACCCGTTAACAGTAGGAAAAGCAGGTCATTTGCGAAATTCAAGTCGTCAGGTGTATTTTGATTGAAAGTCGAATAATAGTACTGTAGATAGAGAATATCAGTCTCTTTAGTCGGATGCTAGATTTCCTCTGATATAACGAGAGGTTTCAGGAGGATGATGATCACTAGCATTGTCTCTGGAAGCAACTCAAAGAGATGAAGTTGTCCTTGCACTGTTATTGAAAGGTTAGTTTAATTCAGAGAAAGAAGATTTAGTGTTCAGGATGTTCACCCAGGTATTGATTTAAAACCTTTTCTAGAGCACTAAGCTGTTACTTCAGTATTTTACGTAACATACCTGAAGCTTCAAGCCTCAGCTTTAAATCAAACCTTACATCCAAATGGCAGTTTGGGGAATGGTCACAATTAGTACCAGTCAGGTCAATAACACCTTTGTCTAAAAGTCCTTCACACATATCAGGATGAACTACTTTCCTTAAAATGCAACTGCTTTCTCTGGTTGCTCTATGAAAAGACCAAAGCATATTGGGAGTCAGGAATATCCAGCCCAGTCCCAGAGCTGTTGCTTTTTGTTCAGAAAGAACTGAGACAATCCGAAACTTAAGCAAAACAGGCAATTGTCTAAATCAACAGACTGCCAAGAATGATAAAATGACTGTGACCCTGCTGCCTACTTCGCCTGCGTGGAGTCCCAACAGGCTAGGCTGGCAGCTGATGCCCTTCCTGAGGGAGGGGTCAGGGTGTGTCAGATATTAAGTTCAGCTGGGTGGCTGGAGGCTCTGTTAGATGCATGGTTTACTTCCATCACACCTTTCATCTCCCCAAGAGGCAGTAGGGGCAGGAAGTCCAAGGATCTCCATACTGGTTCTTTATCTCAGCTCCACCCCTTCCCTCAACATTGATCCCAGTTCTCGGGGGTAGCACAGTTCTGTTCATATTGCTGAGAAGACTAGAGCCAACTCCAGTTCACAGATTTCCTTATATTTTTTCCTTACATTTTTTCGGGGCACTTCTTGTGCAAGACAATGTATTAGCACATTCTTGCTCCTTCAGTGAACTCTGTCTTTGCTCTGTATCAGATCCAAAGCTCACAGAAGACAGGCTTTGCACTGATCTTGATGTGCACTGAATTGAACTCATAGTGGCTTATTGCAAGATAACTATTCCGAATTTATTAGGAAACTGCAAATCTAGTGAACAAAATGCAGAGCCAGCCTTTATGCTGCTAAGTCTGGAAAAATGAATTGGTCACTTGGAAGCAACTGCAGTGGTGAGACAGGAAATTCTAAGACTCCTATTGCAACCAACAATGTACTATGGAAAAATAAATATATCCCAGTGGAAAGAGGCATGAGAAATCCCCATTGCATTCAGTGGTTTGGAACAAACTATTAAAAATCAGTTCTAGCAATCAGGAAATCTGCTCAAATACTTTCCTGCTACCGAGCCTCAAGCTTAACACCTCCGTACTTAGCCAGAATTTCCCACTGAACGCCTTTTCCAGCACAGAGAAAACTCACAGGGTCTGGGGATTCATTATGTATCCAAAACTCAGGCCTTATGAGCACATGCTAGTCGCATGCAGTCCGAAATCATGCAAATAACCTGTCCCTTCTCCAAAATAAAAACTCTTTGGCTCTTTAGGTTTCAAGACGTGTTCTAGACCAAAGCCTGGATCTGTGAGACATTGATTCCAGAGCCAAATTCTCACAATAGCTTCAGCCAAAAATTAGGCAAAGCCAGATGGTTTCAGTAAGACACAAATATGCAGGGAGCTTCTGACCTTGCTTGAACCTAAAATGCAAAGCTGAATTGCGTGCATGCCCCTGTGTAAGATCTGTTCCCAAGCTGCCTGCCAAGATTCTCTGTTAGAAGTTACTGCTCCAACAAAAGGCTTGGCAGAATGTAGTATGTGTCTGCAGTTCAGCACCTTCAGTTGATAATCTAGCATCTTAGCTTTCACCAGTGTTGGAGGTGGGTTTGGGATGGATTATGAATTGCAACTGTTTAGGCATATATTCTCTTCCCCATAACCTCTAGCAATGAGAAAGGGCAGAGCAGGTGGGGATGACAGTGTCTTAAATTCCTGCCATTAATGTATTCCTTTGTAAAAATGTGTTCTTTGAATTTAAAACCTCATCAACTAAAAGCAATAACAAGAGTTTAAATCCATCAGAAATCCATAAAAGCACCTACCTTTATTAGACTTGGGAATCTTTTAGAAATCACCAGCACCAGACCTTCAGCTTTGATTCCTTTCCTGAAATATGCAGCTTCTTGTTTGCCCTGCTATGGAAGCTTGACCAATTTTTCTGTATATGACTAGAATCCAGCATATCTCATTTCCCTGTTTTTGTTAGTAAGGGAAAACCAGGTGTCATTTGAAAATCTCTCTGTTCTCTTTCATCACAGTAAAACCAGTGTGTTTTAAGTAAAAAACACCTCATATTTTTAACAGGAATGAAATAAAAAGTTTGTGAAAAGACTGACGTTGCCAAGAATCAGCAAAAGCACCGTATCATTGTGCTTTCATTAGAGGCTACATGCTGGCTTACCTGACTGGTACCTTTTAGAAATCATATAGCCTTCCAGTAGCACTTTCAAAGGACACAAATTATGACATTCTCCTGGTAGAGATATGATATGTAGCTAGAAAGCCACACTATTTTGAATCTGGGTGACAGATAACAAGGAGGTGGGATATCTGTTCTTGTGACCTAGTAGCATTGGGGTAGCAAACATCCCGTTGTTTGAAGTTTGGAATTTATACAAAATTTCTCATTTCCTCCTTCCTGTAAGCACAATACATTGTGACAGAGGACTAAACTACAGCTCGTTAATACTTCACTTCATAAACCTTACAAACAGTTTTGTCCACTTAAAGTCAAGCTTTGATGTAGCACTGGGTCAGCAGTGTTTTTGTTCACTTCTGTCAGCTCTCAGGACAGAAAAAGCTTTTAGGTGTTTTCCATGTAAGTTTTTATTTTGTTTCTTATCAAACTGGCTAAATATATAGGGATCAATCTTGCCAAATATTGCGATTAATTTTATACTGAAATTAAGTTTATGCACTGGTATAAGGCGCTGTAGTCACCACAGTTTTTAATCCTTTTCCTAGGCTAAAAGTTCTGGGTAGAACTGTCTTGGAGAAAACTCGTAGTGTGCAGTGCCAGCGACATTCATGTAGTCTCTCTGTGTTTTAGGAATTGCAGCCTGACTGTATACTGTGTTCATGGTGCTGCTTTCAGTGAAGTGGAATCACAATTCTAATGTAATAAAAATGCGGATAGTAGAAACTGTACAAGCTTAACTGTACCACAAATGTACATGGATGTAATCATAAAGGAGAGAGAAAAAGAGACTTTAGCATTGTTATCTGCAAAGTTAGATTCACCTGTGTTCAGTTTTCTCATTACTTCTGCTGGCAGGCAAAGGAGTTTCTAAAAGACCTTTATTAAGGTCTCTTTATGGTAGTAGTACTTTTCATAATATCCTTCATTTAATGATTTCAGAGAGCTTTTCAAAATTTACGTAAGTGTTCTACCTATGGGAGGATTGATGTTATTATTTGCTATTTAAAAAATACATACTTGGAAAAAATATAGATTCAGAGACTATCCCACATTTATAGAAAAAATACTGGCAAGATTAACCCAGAGCCCTAGTCCAAACCCTCTGCTTTCAGCATTAGATGAATTTCCTTGACAAAACCTCTCTCCACTGTATTTTATATACTTTCTAAGAAAGTACCCTTCAAGATTTGGCACTTTTACTTTTGTCACATGTGAAATATCTTAACAGATCATACCAAAGAGCACTTTTAATAAGACTTGAAGTCCTCTTCTGAAAGAAGAGTTACTTCCCTCATGTCTCTAGATTGTCTCACTTTCAGAGGGCAAAGAAATATTTATATTTTAGTATTTGAAGGTATTCTGTGAAACTTCTGAATAGCTAAATCCACTTTTAAAAAAAAAAAAAAAGGCTAAGATCTAATCTTAAAGTTCACTGATCTTATATGGAAAGAGCCCGCTAGCTCTCAGGCTTTCCTTGGGAATGAGCATCTTTTTATTAATAAAATTTCAGGTGCCTTTGCAGGATCTAATTTGGCTCTGAAAATTGTATCCTATACCGGATTTCTGCAGTACGTTATTTTCCTGGCAAGGAATTGGAAGAGGAAGTATAATGCTCATGAGAACTTGCCTCTAAAAGGAAGATGCTTTTTTGTCCAGTAACAGCTTGTGCTCTCAGTAGAGACTTCTGCTGTAAACCATAATCAGGAAAGCTATCAAACATGTACTGTTCAACATGGTCTTTGAAATGTCTGGTCCCACCCATGTACTTGAATTAACCTAGTGCTTGGATACTTCTTAGGACCAGAGCTTGAACCTTAGTTGTAGGTAGCAATTTCACATCATTGCAAAGTGAACAAAAAAAGTTAGATTAAACATAAAAGTCTGTTTTCCGGAACATAGAACTGGTCACTCTGCAATGTGCCATTTCATAATTTATACATTGTATTTTATTTTGCAGATTCTGTGGAAAACAGGCATTCTGTAAGTATACTTTTTATGCAAGCAGTTAAATATAGGGAGATTGGATTGAGATTATTGTGTATCTAGTGAGACAGTGTTGCTACATAGCTACGTAGCGCTGCTACGTTTTAATTGTTTATTTGTTGTTCAGGACCTTTACTGGACAGCTATTGGGGCAATCCCTTCATACATATTCTTACTAATCAAGCTTTCAGTACTATCTTTATAGAATGGTCAGTTTTAAAAGTCCGTGGAATGGACTGGTATTTGGTAGTGCTAGTACAGGAGGTAGATGAAAAATAATGATCTTCCAAGAAGTTGTGTTGAGCATCTGCACAGATGTGGATAGGTGCCACAAATACTCATGCTTATAGAATCATAGAATCATAGAATCGTCAAGGTTGGCAAAGACCCTTAAGATCATCAAGTCCAACCGTTAACCTAACACTGCACAAGGCAGAATGGCATAAGGGTGGGGATGGTTGCTTCTTGCTTCAGGTTCCTGATGGACCTGAGGGACTCAAGATTTGCATGTGAAAACCTGCTAATCTGGTTAATGTATCACTGGGGACAGAGCTGTTGTTCCATTCCCATCTGTAAAATCCATAGGGTGTTTAGTGCCAGTGAATCTCCCCGGGGTGTGCCTGCTCACATGCACACACATACATTCTGTGATTGGAATATCCAGAGAAGCGAGGTCCTTCCTAAGATGTGAAATGAAGAGTTAAACTAAGGAGGAATGGCTGATCACCTGAATTTGCAGAAGTCACTTCTATTCACTGTCTGTGACTGTTTCCTTCTGGATTTGATTTCATCCACTGGTATAGCAAGCGGGATGACTCTAAGGGCTGGTGGTGAAAACTGAGACCTTGTAAGAAATTTTAAAGGCAAGCAATTTTTTACCTCAGAGTACATAGCTATGTCACAGTTATGCTGCTCTAACCAAGAGGTGAGAATAGTACCATCCGTATATGGAGGATCTCAGCTAAACAATTAGGAGTTTTGTGAAGGTTCTGCAGGTGGTGAACAGCTTTATAGGGCTAAGAAGCCAGTGAAAAAAATATGGATTTTTTTTAAAAAGAATACATGTCTTGAATGAGCTGTTACTCTGCTCTCAAGAGATCTAAGAGGCAGGGAACTTACATTTCAGGAATACTTTTATGAATGTTAGATAAGCTATGTGATCCAACCTCAAACCATGCAGACTGGGTGTTTTTTCTGCCATCTACTTTGTGACTCTGGAACTTGTATTTTAAAAGAAAAAGAGAGAGAGAGACTCATAAATAAGAATCACAATAGCACAGTCTACGTCATCTTATGGCATCCATTTGAGTTTTGAAAGGCTTCATCAGCACTCACACCCCCATGGGATAAAAAAGCAGCCCATTGTATTATTTACAGACACTGGCAGTGCACTGAAGGTCACAGATTGTGTTACAATAAACAGACATATATTAACAGGCCAGTAGGGTTTATAGTATCATTGTCTCTCTTAGTTTAAAGGTTTGCTTTTATTCTTTGCTCTCAATTTTCTAAAAATAAATGGAGCTGAACCCTCCTCTGGGTTATACCAGGCATTCCTTGGAAAGTCACGCAGAAGAAAGTTTGTCCCAGTCCAACACAAAAGGAAAAATTGTCAAGGGTGGCTGTGATAGACATCTGTGTAAGCTCAGGGAGGAGTTTTTACCTTTTTTTTTCCACACCCTACATAATTTATAATGGACATTGGATGAAAGACTAAAGTTTTATGAAGATTTTTTTTTTTCTTTTCCTGTGGCCAAAAGTGAGTAAAAAGTCTCTCCTGGAAGTATAATGAGGCTGCTTCAATGAAAATACACTGACTACCCCATGTAAATTACTTTCATCATAATTAATTGGGCTATTAAAGCTTGCTAAACCAGACAATCTGTGAAGTAATTTTAGGTTCAAGGGAGAAAAGTGTCAGCTGAGGGCAGTGTTTTCTTTGTGTTGTCTGTACAAACTCCCGTTAACAGTAGTAAAATAATAAAACTATTTACTCTGTAAAACTAATCCCATTTTCAGAAACACCCCAAAGAAAAGTCAGCTTTATAACACTTGCACATCTTACTTGAGTTTTCCTAGAAGTAGCCTTACTCAGTTCACATCTGTGACATTGTCCCCTGCTTAGATACTGTTCATGTACTTAAGACAGTAACTATTCCTTTTTTTGAATTATTAGTGCTTTAAAGGACATAGCAAAAAAACAGATCCCCATCTTCTGCTTCTTAAATTCCCACTTCTATTTCCAATAAAGCCTGTGACAAAAAGCAGCACCATCCCTCTTTTGAACTCTCCAGATGAGTGACCTAAAGTTGGACTGGACAGATGAATTTCCTTATAGATTTTCCATCCCCTTATTTGCCTCTCAGCACTTTTCAGGCAACACAGATGAGTACAGAAGAGGCAGGGAGCCACTAAAGTGCTTTCTGTCATTATTTTCTTGCAACTGTTTTTTTTTCTGTAGCTCATTTTCACACAGTGCTTAACTGTGAGGTACCTCAGAGGTTTGGTCCAAATGAGTTGTTGTTGATCCTACTCATGAAAAGGAAAATGCTTCTTATAAAGTGATCGAGTGGCTTAAACTTCCTCCCCAGCTGTTCTGCTTCTTTATAGCCAAATGAAGTATTTGGCTCAGAGGTGAAGTTGCTTTCCATCTGCTACTCCCTTAATTTGTGAGTGAAAGGAGGCCTTCAGGAGCTAGGCTGGTCAGCTGGCATCTTGATCGCATGAAATGCCAGATGGATTACTTAGCTATAGTGACCTGTCAAAAAACTTGTAGAATTTGACTCTGTTTAGGAAGTAATTGGTATTCCAGAAGTGTGGGACAAAGAGACAGTAGTGTTTTGCGAAAAACTATGTTTTCAGAGACAGAAGGACATGCAACCTTTTTGTTTCAGTAATGATGGCGGAGACTCGACATCAGACCCTGCTGTCCTTTCCACTCTCTAAATTCAAATAACTATGTGGGTTCCACTCCTCAGATAAACTCTGTTAACTTACTCAGTTCTGCATTGATCTTCCAGAAGTCACAGGCAAAACAGAGTACTGCACTGTGGAAAAGAAAGATGAAGCAAATCATTTTAATGAGTGCTAGCCCTGCTCTTGTGCATTTGCCCCTACATAGTTTCTGTCAGAATAAATATAATCCAGCATGGAAATTTAGGAACTTTGCTTCATCTTCACAGAGAGACCATTACAAAATTGAGCTCAGGGCTTCAGTAAACATGATGTACTGACAATAAGTGTTGTGTTACACAGAAGCGTTGAAAGTGTTTGTATTATGTCAAGAAACGTGGTGCGTTAGAAAAACAATCAGTTAAAGTTTGAATTATTTGAATTGTACAAAGGCCCAATTGCAGTACAGGTTCTGACTGATTTGCAGTCCAGAGTACCTTGAACCTGAATGTCTTGGACTTTTAGGTCATGTAGAAATGAACCTGAAGTTTTGGGTTGGGGGTTGCTTCCCTCTTTCTCCTCTGTTTCAGAAATTTATATCTTAAATGCCATCCATAGGAAGTATTTGCAAAAGAAATGAATTACTTAGAGAGGAACTGGGAGGAGGTTTCCTTCCTGAAATCAGAGCTGGCGGTCTTTCCAAGTTATTTAATGGTCCCAGTTTCTGAAAACATATTGAAGGAAATATCTTAACAATGAGATAGCCACTTCGCCAAATACTAATTGGTATTGTGTCAAATTTACCTCAGCGGTACATTCTGACTTCATATCTCCTCCTCCCTTATTACCTCTTAGATGTGTGCGTGTGTTGGTTTGTTTGTTTGTTTGATTCTGTCCTAGGGCTACATGAGGACTGGCAGACTCAGTCGGGACATGCTGTACTTTTAGCTGCCTATTTGTTCAACCTCAGAATGTACCCTCTGAGACAGAAACCTGTACAATTTAAATCTATTTGGAAAAATTTCGGGGGTTTTTTTCAGCTACTTTCTCATCTTACTCAAGTGATCCCAAAAGTATTTGGTAAATTCTCAGTGGTAAAGGAATTGCTTCACATTGCCAGCACAACATAGCGAGCTCCGAAGGGGGACCTGGCATGTATCTAACTGTGCACGGTAACATGGCACAATAGTTTCAGACAGGAAATGCAGACGAAGGATGTGTCCATTTAAAATTGGGGGGGATTTCAGGCAGTCAGGATATGAAAAACAAGGTGATACTCTGAAATAAACATTGAATTATAAACCAGGAATTCCTGCCTCTGACTCATGGGGCAAATCCTTTGGGGGTAAGTCCACAAAAGGAATTAGGCGCCTCAGTGCTGACAGACTAAACTATTAGGTTAGAGGCCATCACGTACTCTTAGCAGATATTTGTTGGAGGAAGGCTTGCTTTGACAACTGATGTCAGGAAAGACCTGCCCGTTGTGAATCCTCAGTGGACAGAATTATTTCTGTCATATAATGTAACGACAATGAAGTTCGGGATCTCTCTTTGCCCTTTCCCATTGGCTAGCGTAGAGGACTCCTCTATCTGCGTGCTGCCTTTTGTGGTTCTCAGTGCCAGGTTTTTAAGTCCCTGCTGTGTACTGAAGATAACCTATTCAAAGGAGCAGACTCTTGTAGAAACATGGTGTCTAAAAGTTGAACACTGCATTGCTCACTATTGAGCTACCCACGTGCTTCTTAGGAAAAGGTTTTCATTCTTGTGCGACTGAAGGTGGGGGCCTAGTTGTGGCAACTGGGCACCTACTAGTAAATAAGGGATCTGACTTTCAGATTTGTTGAGTGCCAGCAGCTCCCATAAGAATCCAGCTCCTATCAGTAAGAGCCCAGTTGCAGATATTGGTGATTAACAGTGTTGCAGTCTAGCCTGTAATTGTTAACCTAAACCTCCCACTGTCTTATTTCCTTTTTTATCTGATGAAGATAATACTAATATCTCCCCAGGGAACTGTGAGTATTTATTAGCTCATTGTAGAGTGCTCTAAGGAATATGTTACTATATTTAAAGTTTTTGTACTGATCAAAAAGGACAGGAGAGGGCAGGGGGACATTTATATTCATACTTTTTTTTCTTTTTTGGTCTTATTGCCAACAGAGAATACAAGGGCATCCTGATGCTACTTAGAACAGTGATCTCAAACATCAGCTGGGAGAAGAAAACAAGCCAAGATGGAAGATGTTGCAAATGTTTCAAAAGCTCTGCAGCACTTATTTATGAGTTTGCCAGGCTCTTCTTTTCAAAGTTTATTTCCTCAGGGGGAACAATAGAGATGTTCCTAAAGCATTTAATGGAAAAAATTACAAATAAAAATTCTCATAGGAAAGTGGCTCTAGAAACCACTGACCTAGGTTCCCATCTTTAATTTCTCCTGCTAATGCAATTTTGCCTTTCTAGCCTCCAATTCATCATGCTCTGAGGAAATAAAAGGGGAAGCTACAGCTGAGGAAGTACATTTCCACAGTGCAGTAACTACTGTGATGCTAGTAGGATGTAGAAATATCTAAGCTTGCTTTAAACTAGCTAACTTGGTCATCAATCGGTAACACTCTACTGCGGCAGATCAGAGCTCAGCACAGCTTGGCCAGCCATGTATGGACTTTGACATGATCTTGCAGCTTGCGCTGAACTCCCTGTGCTGCAGCAGCTGGACTGCTACCGGTCTTGGAGCCAGCTAATTTATAGCTCACTTGGATGCTACACTTCAATGAGGGCCTAACGGACGAGAGAGCGCAGGGATCTCTAAAAACTTGAATAACTTGTAC